ATCTGGCCGCAGCCCAGGCCTAGATGAAAAAAATGGCAGACAAGCACAAATCAGATCGAGTTTTCCAAGTGGGAGATTTGGTGTTCCTGAGGCTACAGCCATATCAACAAAGCTCAATCGCAGCTAGAAGATCTCAAAAGCTCTCAGCCTGTTATTTTGGGCCTTTCAAGGTGCTACAACGAGTGGGCCCTATGGCCTACAGATTGGACTTGCCTAAGGATTGTCGAGTGCACCCAGTTTTCCACGTTTCATGGTTGAAGAAAAAGTTGGGCACCCATTGCACTAGTCAACCCACCTTGCCTCCTCTCACTTCAAATGGTACGTTGAAGCCAAATCCAATGGCTATCTTGGACCGCCGAATGGTGAAACAGGGAAACAAGGCCCACACAAAACTACTGATTCAGTGGGAAGGCACACCACCTTCTGATGCCACGTGGAAGAGCTAGGCATACTTGGTGGAACACTATCATGGAACTAGCCTTGAGGGCAAGGCCAACCTTAAGGGGAAGGGATTGATATAGATACCTCTATGCGAACCGGTCCAAAGTGAAGCCCAATCCACATTCCAGTGTGGGCCTAAGTAATCCACCTTCCACATGCTTGACTAGGGACGTGAGATCCCAGATTACCTTTTGCCACCTTTCTGTTATTTCTTTCTTCTGCCATTTTTCTATTACTTATTTTGTTATTTACTTTTCTTTTCAATCATGGTCGTTGGGATTTGCTATCATTGGGTTGTAATGGATCTAACCTCTATATATATATCCCTCCATGAATGAAGGAAAGGCATCGTCTAATTTGAAACTCAATCCTTGTGTTCATATTTCTAGCTGAGCGGTGCTTGGCACCATAACTCACCGAGGCAAGAAACAGCTCACTTCCTGGTTACGAGAAGAAGTCGACACCAATTCTACTGGTTATTGAGTTGCAGATCATCTAGATTTCTGAAAGTATAGAAGACAATTTTTGGAGGTGCTCTTGGATATGACCAAAACATTCTCTGTTCCTTTTTTTAAGGCTCTTTTGCATTCTTTGAGTTTTGAGGTGACTTTGTACCAGGGACGACCTTGTACCTAGTTCGACCAAGCTTCAGTGACAATCGTGTGACAGTCAGGATTATCACACCAAAAGGGCATAAAATGGAACTAAGATTTAAAAGAATTTTCAACTAGGTTGATGTTTATTTTAATAGGTCCATGGTCGGAGGAGATGATTGGGAAATGAGTGAGAACTGTCTGTGGGAATAAGTGAACCCATTCAGGGGGGTGGCTAGGGCTCTCTATCCAATCATTCCAGAACTTTGTTTGTACCTGATTGTCCATTTGTCCATGTAAATGGGGGGCCCATAGGTGCGGCTGTCTAAGCATTTTTCCTTTTGCAATTTGGCCAGATGTGTCCTACTAATCCACAAATCGCAGAAATTCTCGACAATTGTTCATAATAGTAACGAAGCCATTTACCTAATTAGAGTAGAGGATGAAACGTCCGGTGTAGAGTGGTTGTCGGAGGTCAAATACTATCTTTTTACGTGTATACAACCTCCGAGTGAGATGGCCTATGCAAATTTTCTCTTGATTGGGTAAGACTCGACCTCGACCATGTCGGGAGGGACCATATGGATTTGGAGCAAGACTCTCTATGCCCAAACTTTTTCTGTTGTGCCAGTGGAATCTAAGAGAATCCAGCTAGACTGGTAGAACCATTCAGAGCTATGTCTTTCTCTGATTTTTTGTGCAAAAATGAATTCTATGTTGCCGCTATCAATAAATTTTACTGCATGCAATAGTATAATTGATATTACATATCTGTTTTACGTGTGCTTCCAGAACCTCTTCACTGACTTGTTGGTGGGGGAATATTCTCCCTTTTAGGATGGATGAGGTTAGACTTATTTAATGCTTCATCCACCAATTCAAAAGCATGGATCTCCTGATCAAAAGAGAGTGTAACTGTGTTAGAGAATTAAGATAAGAATTGGTGTATGGGCTGTTATGATAAGGGTGGTGTTGAATAGAGTTACATTAGGAGCTCTAAATAAGACATAATTTGTTGTGTTATGATAGAGTTTGAGATTGATTGAGATAGATTACATAGAGTCGTAGATAAGGTTTAAGAGTTTGACTTCGAATAGGTTTAGTCTTTGTGTTAGTCTATAAATATGATATAATTACCATATTCAATCAATGCATCCTTTCTAGCCTTTCTTGTGTTAGACAATTGTATGCCCTTAGCTTCAATTAGAATTATGTACATTATGAATTTATTGTAAATGAATAAAGTACTCATTTGATTCATGTTCCTGTGGTRTGTTTCTGTGTAATACCCTTAAACTGGATACTTAATGAGACTTGTGTTAGTTTAGAATGTTCACAGCCATTGGGTAAGTCTGGGGAGATTTATCCTGCCAAGGCTGACACTGGTGTGCGGCCAACTATTGGGGTGGCTT